CCCCTGCCACGGAGGCTTTCCGTCCTGGGAACACCAAGTCCCTGGGAAGCCCCTGGGAGCGGGGCTGTGGCCACAGGCCTCTCGGCGGTCTCACAGGCAGAATCCCGGATGAGTCCCGGGGGAAAAGCAGCAGCCTCTGCCCCACATCTGGCTGTCCCACGCTTTGGAAGTGTTTCCCTCGGCTGGAACCAGGGCGTTGGAGAGCAGAGCCGCAGGGGCCGAACTGGCAGCCGGGGGAAATCACGGCAGCTCCTTCTAAGTGCTGGTTTCCTCCCGTTTATGGCAATTCTACCCCAGCGATTGTCGGGGGGTAGTTCCAGGGGTTTCGTTGTTCCTACCTGATGTCAGCTAAAGCGGGGTGCGCCCTTCTGGCAGCTACTGGGACTGTTAAGACCTCCAAAACTTATGCAAATGGCCCGGCAGCGCAGAGCAGAGCGGAGGCGATACAGCTCTTGCCCGCCTTTTCCTCAGGTTTTTGCTCCTGGGTAATACCGGTGTCACGGCTGGAGCGTGCGAGCGGTGGCACGTTTTAGTGCCGGGACACCCCCGGGCCGGAAGCACAGTGCCAGTGCTGCGTGGCGCGGCTGGGTTGCACCACTGAGGTTTTGGCTGAGAACGAGATGGCACTTTTGAGGGGGAAACCGTGAGAAATTGCTACCGCCCCTTGCCTTGCGTTCATGTGAAGGTCACGAGCCCCTGGGGAGGGGATGCGGCTCCCATGGGTGCAGTGGGAAAGCCCACCCTGGAGAAGGGGCAGCCGCCTGCCTCCCCACCTTTGCCCTTTCATTTCTTTCCCCTTCGAAGTGTAAATACTAATACAGTCTAGTTTGCTTGGATGCTGCGTGTGGTTCATTTTGGGTACGGATGTGTCGCACGCAGCGCTGGCTCAGCTCTGGGCTCTTGTGGGGCAGCTGTGAGGCTTCGTGCCTCAGTTTCCCCACTCCTGCATACCCAGTCGTAGCTGGGGCTGTTGGAAGCACCCAGCTTCCAGCACCCGGGCTCGCATCTCTTCCCTCGGGTACACATGCTGTGTCCTGGCAGTATCCAGGACCCCTGGGCCCTGCAGGACCTAATTCCCCCGTGGCTCCGGGGGAACCGGCATCCCCCTCCCTTGGCGGGAGAGCCGCTTTCTGCACCCGCGCTGGCAGGGCTGGAGAAGGGGTTTGGGCCAGGGCCTAGGGCCCGGGTAGGGGTCCCGCCCTGGCCCAAACCCCCTCGGGATTTGGGAGTGGGAAGCGGCCTCGGCGCGTGGGCTGGGCAGCGCGGGGAAGGCCGCGC